TCACCATTTCGATTTGTTTACAAGCTCCATAAGATTTGAACTAATGATGCTTATCTTTTGCTTTTTTTGTTGCACTTGGACGTGTTTGGCTCTTGTTCATGTGAAAATTTTCATTGTAAACACTTCAAATTCTAATCACGAGGTCAGGCTAGATAAATAATGAGTTCATAGGGAATTAGTTTAAGTCATCGTGACCACCTACTTAAGATTTAATATTCGAGTTACTTCGACAATCGAATGTGTTCAATCAGCATTCGTTTATGAGAATAGTCAAGGTACGCACAAGCTTCTGTTCGGATGCTCACGGATATCAAAAAGAAAAGAGAAAACTTAAAATTCTTTCAGTCCCTGAAGTTGGCCCCGATGGCGCAACGCTGCCTAGAAATTAGTGAGCTAAGATTATTCTTTTATACTAGAGGAATCTATGAAATTGTAATTGAAGAAGATGGTTGATTTATAGTTTTTTTCCCGGTTCATTAAGGGTTGTATCGTGTTATTATGTAACAGAGCAATGGCATCCCACGTTGTTGGTTATCCTCGTATTGGTCCGAAGAGAGAACTTAAATTTGCCTTGGAGTCTTTCTGGGATGGGAAGAGCACTGCTGATGACTTGCAGAAAGTGGCTACTGATCTCAGGGCATCTATTTGGAAGCAGATGGCCGATGCTGGAATTAAGTTTATCCCTAGCAACACTTTTTCGTATTACGATCAAGTGCTCGACACTGCAACTATGCTTGGTGCTGTTCCTTCAAGATATGGATGGAACGGTGGTGAGATTGGATTTGACACGTACTTCTCCATGGCTAGAGGGAACGCTTCGGTTCCTGCCATGGAAATGACAAAGTGGTTTGACACCAACTAGTAAGTGAAAGCTTATATGCATTTCCCTACCTTTTTACGATACTTTTTCCGTAAGACTTATATTAGTTGATGATGCAAGGAATGTAATGATGTGCGTGTTTTATTACAGCCATTACATCGTCCCCGAGCTGAGTCCTGAAGATAAATTCACTTATGCATCTCACAAAGCAGTAAACGAGTACAAGGAAGCTAAAGCTGTAAGTTTTCTTATAGAAAAAATTGAAAAGAAAAACACTTCAAAGGAACTGCTATGCTGTTTTGAACTGACAAGCACCTTTTTTCTTTTTTTGAGTAACAATTATTACCTTTTTCCCCTTATACTCCCACTTTTCTATGCAGCTCGGAGTCGAGACCATCCCAGTTCTTGTAGGCCCTGTGTCCTTCTTGTTGCTATCGAAACCCGCCAAGGGAGTTGAGAAATCCTTTTCACTTCTCTCTCTAGTCGACAAAATTCTTCCCATTTATAAGTCAGTCTTTCTTTGCCTCTTTCTGGAAGTCCGTCCCACGTTATTTCGGTTCCACTCTCTTCTTCTTGACTGTTATTGGTGCCTGCAGAGAAGTTGTTTCAGAGCTGAAGGCTGCTGGTGCCACATGGATTCAATTTGATGAGCCTACACTTGTGAAAGATCTTGATGCACACCAGTTACAAGCATTTGCTCATGCCTACTCGGAGCTGGAATCAGTCTTATCCGGTTTAAATGTTCTGATCGAGACATATTTTGCTGATGTTCCGGCTGAGGCATACAAGACCCTCACATCTTTGAAGGGTGTCTCTGGTTATGGATTTGATCTTGTTCGTGGAACGCAGACACTTGATCTTATCAAAGGCGAATTTCCTTCAGGAAAATATCTCTTTGCTGGAGTTGTCGATGGAAGAAACATATGGTCAAATGACCTTCAAGCTTCCCTAAATACTTTGGAGGCGTTACAAAATGTCGTTGGGAAAGGTGCTTGTTTCTTAACTTGCTAGTACATTTTACATTTGCGTGGATACATTTTCAAACTTTAAACAGTGGTAATATATGCCGTTCTTTTGTGTCGTTGACAGAAAATATTGTCGTCTCCACTTCATGCTCTCTTCTTCACACTGCTGTTGATTTGGCGAACGAAACGAAATTAGACGATGAAATTAAGTCATGGCTTGCTTTTGCCGCGCAGAAAGTTGTTGAAGTTAATGCCTTGGCCAAGGCATTATCTGGACATAAAGATGAGGTACTTTATTTGTCTGCTTTTGACCTTGCAATGGGAACTTAGGGACGGGGTGTTGTACCTTAAATGAAACGGTGTAACCTTTGGCTAGGTGCGTTATCTGGCTCGAGTACTGAGAATACTTTTAACCTTAGTTTATTTGACGTGCCATGGAAATCTGTAGTTGCGTAGGAACTGAAGATATTAAAATTTAAGCTTATAATGTTCACTTCTTCTAGGCGTATTTTTCGGCCAATGCTGCAGCTCAAGCTTCAAGGAAATCATCCCCAAGAGTGACAAATGAGGCTGTCCAAAAAGCTGTAAGAATTTATCTGAAGTATATTAGTATCATTTTGTAATATCGCTTTATATTCTTGCACATCATGCGCTCAATCCGATTTCTGTTTTGACTTGCTTAGGCTGCTGCTCTGAAGAGCTCTGACCACCGCCGGGCGACTAATGTAAGTGTCAGGTTAGATGCTCAGCAGAAGAAGTTGAAGCTTCCAAAGCTACCTACCACAACAATTGGATCCTTCCCTCAAACTATGGATCTTAGAAGAGTGCGACGCGAATTCAAAGCGAAAAAGTACGCCTTTTGGTCTTTGGATATTGTTGTTTGTCCTCGGAAAAGTAGTGTTATTAATTTTACAATATTCTTGCATCCTGTTCCTTTAGAATCTCTGAGGAAGTCTATGTCAGCAACATCAAGGAGGAAATCAATAAAGTTGTTCAGCTTCAGGAAGAGCTCGGTATCGATGTCTTGGTGCATGGAGAGCCTGAGGTAAGCATTTGTTGCAAACGAACGCTGAAGAACCTTTAACGAACCATATATTGTCTCAGGTAAAAGAAATGTGGCATCTGAATTTCTGTTCATGTCTCAGAGAAATGATATGGTTGAGTACTTTGGAGAGCAACTGTCTGGCTTCGCCTTCACTGTCAATGGTTGGGTCCAATCCTATGGATCCCGTTGCGTTAAGCCACCTATCATCTACGGTGATGTCAGTCGTCCAAAACCCATGACCGTCTTTTGGTCGACAATGGCTCAGAGCATGACGAAGCGACCTATGAAGGGAATGCTTACCGGTCCAGTGACAATCTTGAACTGGTCTTTTGTTAGAAATGACCAACCAAGGTAGTAAAATTGAATGAACTGTTTTACCAAGGGCAGTTTGCAGTAGTTAACTCAATATAACCCCTGGTTGTTCATAGGTTCGAGACATGCTACCAAATCGCCTTAGCCATTAAGGACGAGGTTGAGGATCTCGAGAAGGCTGGTATTACTGTCATCCAGATTGACGAGGCAGCACTGAGAGAGGGTTTGCCTCTCCGAAAGTCCGAGGAAAATTTCTACTTGAATTGGGCTGTTCATTCGTTCCGAATCACCAACTGTGGTGTTCAAGATACCACCCAGGTTCTTTTCTCCTCTCTCCTTTTCTTTTAGATCAATGATCTCTCTCGTAAAATTTGCTTTGGCTGTTGGTTAGGCATTGGTATGTGTCGTTTTCATTGTCTTGTTCATATTTTGGTGTCGTGTTTTCTGCGTCGAGTTGTATAACGGTCTTGTCAATGACATAGTTAACTTTGTGAGTTTGATGACTGCAGATCCACACCCACATGTGCTACTCGAACTTCAATGACATCATCCATTCGATAATCGACATGGATGCTGATGTGATCACCATCGAGAATTCCAGGTCAGATGAGAAGCTTCTGTCTGTCTTCCGCGAGGGAGTAAAATATGGTGCTGGAATCGGACCTGGAGTCTACGACATCCATTCACCCCGTATCCCCTCGACCGACGAAATTGCTGACAGGATCAACAAGATGCTTGCTGTTCTGGAAAGCAACATCCTCTGGGTGAACCCCGATTGCGGTCTCAAAACCCGAAAGTACACCGAAGTCAAGCCTGCCCTCCTCAACATGGTCGATGCTGCTAAGCTCCTTCGCTCACAACTGGCCAGTGCCAAGTAAGTTTGAGAATGCTGTGGAGCTTTTTTTTTACCTTAGGATACAAAAAAACATAAATTTTCAATAAGATTTTGGCGTTCTAGTGAAGTGATCTTGCTCTCTTTCTTGGAATGTCTTCATTTTCTTGGGGAAGTAATGAGAAATGTTAATCAAACTCCTATTGTGGCTTTTGTTTATTAAAGCCATTCTTTTGTTAGGTTAGATTATTAGTCGTGTTTTTTAGTTCACCGACATGTTAGGCTAGAAACTTGAACGTTTGAACTTTTGATTGACAAGGATATATGCCTTGACCAATTTGAGGAGTCGTACTTTACGTAACGCTCAAAAAGATATCGTTGAAGTTCGAGTCCTTGTCGTAAACATACTATTTAGTCAGGTTTTTTCGTTCATCGACATGTTAGGCTAGAAACTTGAATGTTTGAACTTTTGACTGACAACGGATATATGCCTTGAACTAACTTGAGGAGTCTTACTTTACGTAATGCTCAAAAAGATGTTGTTGAAGTTCGAGTTGTAGTCGTAAATATACTATTTAGTCGTGTTTTTTAGTTCACCGACATGTTAGGCTAGAAACTTGAATGTTTATACTTTTGACTGACAATGGGCATATGTCTTGACCAATTTGAGGAGTCGGACTTTACGTAATTCTCAAAAAGACGTCGTTGAAGTTCGAGTCGTAGTCGTAAATATACTATTTAGACGTGTTTTTTAGCTCACCCACATGTTAGGCTAGAAATTTGAATGTTTGAACTTTTGACCGACAATGGGCATATGCCTCAGACCAATTTTAGGAGTCGTAGTTTATGTAACACTCAAAAAGATGTCGTTGAAGTTCGAGTCAGAGTGAAATAAGGTTTAGTCGAATTAATGTTTCGTCTTTCCTCTCCCTTAGGAGTTAAGTCGAATGAATCTCTTTTCTTTTACCGATCGTAAAACATAGGAAAAGGTTTAAGGTTTTGGTTTGATCTTATTCTTTTACTTACTGTAAAGGTGAAGTAGCAGCTCTATAGCAATTTTATTCTCGTGCCCGAATCCGGGGCAACGAATTTGGTTCCATTGTTCGCTCGTAAACTAGATGTTGATTCATAGCTTCTTCTTCTTCACCACTGTTGCTCCATATGATCATTGTTTGTAAGATTGAGATACACAATGACAAAAACAGCAGCAGCCCCTAGAGCCAAATTCACCATATTTCTCCTCAACCATTCTCCTCTTCTCACCCGTCCAATCCCTCGAGTAGAGGCGGTGGGCGGCGGTTGGGATTCCGCCTTGGGCTCCGATGGCTGAGCCGGTGGGTTGTTGGAAGAGACGGCGGAGGTTTTTCTGGGCTGCGTCACGTAGAGGATGCCTTTCTCAAACTCGGCAGAGATCTTGTTAGTATCAGCATCTTCTGGGATATCGATTTCGTTGAGGAATCGGAGCCACTTGCCGCTGGTGAGCCTCCGTTCGCCGGAGATCCTCAACTTTCCGGTGGATGTCACCCGAACTTCCAGATTGTTGCGTGTGAAACCTGCAGAAAAGATCGAAAATTCAATGGTAAATTCAAATTTTCATAAATTAAAAATTGTTTGTGTTTTCAACAATTTAATTTAATTTCTATTTTATTTTTAAGCTATTTGATCTAACGGTATTCTGAAAATCTGATACATCCAAAAATTTGTTAAATTCAACAAATTCAAATTTATTATTAATTTAAAAAAAAAAATATATATATATATATATATATTTGTTTACAATATAATTATATATATTTAATATTAATTTATTTTTAATAACGCTTAAAAATAATATATAGTAATTTGGAAGGTTATTTTTAAAAATATATTAAAATTAAATTAGTGAAAATACATTTTGAAACTGGCAAAACTCAAAGTGGAAAATGTCAAACCTAAGAGGTGGACGAGAAGAAGATGAGACTCGGGATGATGAAGGCAATCGAGTAGAGGCTCAAAATCCCGATAGCTTTTGAACGAAGAATCCATCGGCATTGCGTTTGATTTTTCTCTCCGGTAATTCTAATTTCTCTTTCGCTCTAACTTCTCTTGATGACTATTTCTTTCGATGTCTTCGAGGCATTCTTTATATCGAACGGAAATCTTGATTCGAAACCTGTTTCTGAAAATCTAAGAATTTCTTCGGGATTAGTAATTCCTTCGCTTGAAGCTTTCTTTGTGCTTTGGCCATGACAGTTGTTTCGATCTTGATCCGAAATCCGCCTCCTCTGAAGTTTGCGAGAAATCCGCTTCCTGAAGTTGCAATCGCAAATAGGAATTTCTTTGAGATTAGTAATTCCTTTGCTTAAAGCTTTCTTTGTGCTTCGGCCATGGCAATTGTTTGATGCAAGAGGGTTAAGAGATGTGTTGTTTTGGTCACTTTGTCCATTGGTAAAGCGGAGATTCTTTTTGTTTCTTTCTTCTACACTTCTCTCGTTAGTGGAGATTTCTTTTCTCCCTTAAACACACTTCGTAATGTAATCTAAGCTTTGATTCAAGTTATTGTAATACGATAGGTCTTGTCTATTTTGATTATAGTTCTTTAGAATTTTTTAGTTTCGATTTCACCCCTATTCTTATAAAAAAAATCCACTGATCTTTTAACGATGAACCACTCTAATACAACAAGGTGTTGGATCGATATGGCATCAATATGGCAACCGTGGATGGGTGAATAGCTTTTCAACCCTGATTAAATTTTTCTAATAATAATAAAGTTTAATATCATGCAATAAAACTTAATAATAATTTAGAATTTAAATATAAAAAGGGTTAGAAAATATAACATCGGAAAAGGGTTCGAAAATATAACACCGGAAAAGGGTTAGAAAATATAACACCGGAAAAGGGTTAGAAAATATAACACCATAGTTTTAGAGTGGTTCGGTCAAACTTGACCACTCCACTCCCGAAACGCCTATTGGGAATTTGAATAAACCTTTTTCGACTCTTTCCTCGGATCAGAGTCCAACCGCTACACCGCTTTTTTTACGAGTTCAAAAGCAAACTCAATCCTTTCCACGACTCAGGATTAAACCGGTACAATTGTCTGAAATTTTATAAGAACACAACTCTCTGAAATAGTAGATTTAGAATTCAACCGTTACACCACTCTTTTTACGAGTTCAAGAGCAAATTCAATTTTTTCCACGGCTCAGGATCAAACCGAAAATTTTATAGAAACAGACATGGTAGATTTACAATTTTCTCATAATACAACATACACGTAGATAAACAAAAATAAAATTGGAAGCTTCGGAGAGAGAAGAACAATAAGACTTTTAAAAGAAAGTTTAGATGAGGAAAATATGGAAGTTTGTATTATGTTCTATGTTCTGTGTGTTGTAAGATACGAAGAGGTGAGAGTTTAAATAGTGATCGAGCTGAAGGACCATCAAAAATAATATTTATTTATTTTTAAATTTAACGTAAAAAACTATAAACCACATGTTTTATATATATATATATATATAAATATAATAATATAATAAAAAAAAATAACCGAAAAGTTTTATAAATCTAATTGAAATAATTTTATACCACAAATAATTTTCTTTCAATTTTTATGAACAGGTAATTGAAATAATTTTATAATTCAAATATTTTTCAAAAAAACTCCATCGTTTGTTACTCTGTCAAAGTTATAAATGTCATACTTCGATTGATCAATAATGTCAATTTTGCTGATGGTCCATGATGACAATTTTGTCACCACATCATCACGTCGGGTATCTTGTTTTGAATTTGATTGGTCTATGATGTCAATTTTGCCACCACATCATCACGTCGGGTATCTTGTTTTGACTAAAACTTCTTCGTTTTAGCTCTAATTTGAGTGAACCAAAGAAGACGTTAAAATCGTTATTCCCAACCTTACACTTACAAAATACTGATAATTGTTAATAATGGAATGTTATCATTAAAATATCAATTAATTATTTAATTAAAATTAATTAATTTGAGACAAATTATTTCCAGAAAAATAGTATGAAATTCATAAAACCATAATGCACATGTCCAAATAATAATATTGATGCATTATGTAGACATTCTAATATATCATCGTAAATTTGAAATTCACTCAAATTCATTATATGCTAATTGATTATTAGAGTTTACAAAATCAAGAATAATATGTCCATTTTGCACATGCTCTCTAATAGAATGATGTCAATGTCAATATGATTTTTGGTTAAATTAATAGCACGGGTGTTATCACAAAATATAGGCACACTATCAAATTTTAATCCAAAATCACAAAGAGTTTGTTTTATCCAAAAAAATTTGAGCAGAACAACTAACAACCGCAATATATTCCACTTCTGCAGTAGATAAGGCAACCGAGCTTTTTACTAAACCAAGAAACTAATGAACTCCCAACAAGTTCCACTAGTACTTTTACGATCGAGTAAACTTCCCTCAAAATCCGCATCAGAATATCCTATCCATTTAAACTCAACATTTGTACGATACACAATCCTAAATTAATAGTCTCAAGCAAATATTTAAATGTTCTTTTAATAGCATGTAAATGAGATTCCTTAGGACAAGATTGAAACCTAGCACAAACACATACACTAAACATAATATCAGGTCTACTAGCAGTCAAGTAGAGTAAAGATCAAATCATACCTCGATAAGATTTTATATCTACACATTTACCTTTTTCATCCTTGTCAAGCTTGGTAGATGTGCTCATTGGAGTTTTTGCAATCTTACCTCCATTGAAGGTGAACCTCCGTGGTGTATTTCTTTGATTTAGGAAGATACAGTAACGACTCTAAATTTCCACATATCTAGAGTCGCTACTAACGTCTCATGCTCATCTCTAATGCTCATCTTTATTAATAATTCATGATATTATTATTATAACTCTAAGAAATGCTCATCTTTATTAGCGAAAAAATTTAAACCTTCAGAATACGTTAAAACATTAGAAAACACTACCGGACTTACGTGTTTCAAACATCATACTGGAGTTCAAAATAAGATAAAACAATGACAAATTAAATAATTTAAATAAATGAAATGCAAGCACCCTATCCTAACAAACTCTAGGAATTTTAAATATGCAACTATCCTATGCACGCGCCATAGTCTCTGATCACGATGTCATCGTCAACCGTACATGGGAGCGTTGCCTTTACCTGAAAAACAATATGGCACACGGCTTGAGTATTTCGAGAAATACTCAGTAAGTGACCCCACTATATGGGTCATGCTAATGCAAACACATGCAATCATGAATTAGGGACCTATCTCTAATCATCTTAAGAGTGGCATCTAGTTTTGGACAAATTGGATGTGTAGTACTTCCCTACACATGACTCACACGCGCGAGTGTGAATCCCCAGGGCGCTCGTACACCCCCTAGACCCTCTGGTCAAGCTAATCTGTAGCGACGTCCGGAGGTCAGCGGGACCCCATAGTATCATGCACCTCATGAACACCCTCATCTGTGTGCATACGCGCTCATCATACGGTGCGGGTCCGCACTCATCATCTCTAGGGGAAGTAGCCCTATACTTGAGAACATACAATATGCATGATGTCCCTCCAAGTCCAATTATACATCTCTTCTGACACAACCCTCTAGTCTCATCTCTTGGTTACACTATGTAACACGTGCTCGTAGATATTTACATTAATATCATTTTCATACTCTTAGGGTTGTGTCCTATGTCGATCTAACGACACGATGCAATATGACAAACAACATCATAAGGCATGTTCAACATGGAAAACATCATCATGTTAATAACATCGTCATGCATACATCATACTCATCATAGAAGCCATTAAGTGCATCAAATATAACATGTACATCATGCATCGAAACATAAATAGCGTACATTTAACCGACATCACAACACAATGCCTTACTCACACATCATCATAATTCAAACAATCTTTAGCCTATCCTATATTAAGGCCACTTACCTGGTTTACTTAGCCAAAGTATTCCCTAATTTAATTAACCTAAGCTCCCGTTCCTCAAGAGCTGCTCCTAAGGTTGCTGGAGTTCGCTTCATATCCCACCGTTCGTCACCTTTCGTTAGTATTTCACATTTTAATTAATAATCCAACTAACAATGTGAAATACGACTCTAAAACGGTCTCAGTAAAAATCGAATTTCGCGTTTTCATTGTTTCTAAATTTTTGTTGGGCAGTAAAATTTAGATTGAAAATAAGTTAATATTATTTCATGGGCTTGAATAATTCAATCTAACTATGGTTTGTTAGAATATTATATTCTCTGGTACAAATAATAATAATTTCTCACATCTTCTATTTTTTTTCTCTCTATTGTACCACTTCGTTTCTCTTTCTCAATTATTTTTTTTTCTTTCCTACAAATGACTATGTAATTATAAACTAATTTTCAATCAATTTTGTTCTCCTCTCTTTCCTAATATGACTATCCAATTGAAAAGACACATTTTCAATCTAGTCTGTTTTCTTCCTTTTCCTAAAAACTATTATTATCAACCGAAGTCATTTTCAATCTATTCTGTTTTCTCCTCTTTCCCGAATGACTATCCAATCAAAGGAGTCATTTTGAATCTATTCTAAGTTTCCTTTATAAAACTGCATATGCATCAATCAATTATGATTTTCTCCTCTTTCCTAAAAATGATCATCCGATTTAGATCAAATTGAGAAAGCCATTTTCAATCAATTTTGATTTTTCATAAGATATCCAAAAATCTAAATAATTGAAAAAGAGATATAAGATAACTTTTCTCTCTCTTGTAAAAGATAAAAGATAAAAGATAAGAAGATCTAATTTACGGATAACTTTTCTATCTTTTCTCTTCCTATCAAATCTGGTTGAAGTGAAGACCATCTTCAATTTTTCTCTCCCCAAATCTACTCTATTTCCTTTGTTTCTTTCTCCCTTCCCAAAATCGGCCATTTTTTACTTCGGTTTTGTTTTTTTCTTTTTATCATTTTGCAGATGTAGGAGGTGTTAGGGGAGATATTTGGGGTAGGTGGAGAGACAATCGATCATTTACTTTTTTTTTTTTTT